GAGGTATTGGTACGGTAACGAATTGTAGTCATTGGCTGATCGGACTCCACCGTGTTAGTCCGACTACCCAGTCAGCAAAAGCGCTCCGTCAGGTTCTCGCTCGTTCGCCCAGTTTCTGGCAGGGAGTGGATTGGCCTGCCCTCCACCCTCCTACTGAGAAGTAAAAGGTTCCGACTGCCGGTCCCCAGGCCCATTTGACTGACTGTTTCGCCCCCCCCCTCTGGTTATCATCCGGACCTCCTTATCCATCCATCCCTATCGCTCCTGCTGTCAACTTGATCCGCTCACCTCGACTCACTCATCACCGTCCGCCTATACCTACCGAACCATCTTCCTCTTTCCTTCTTCTCTTCCTCTTCCTCCCTCCTATCACCCGTCTTCTCTCTCCTCCTTCTCTGCATCCCGTCCGTCGCTCCTCTGCACATTGCTCCTTCTTCCTTCTCCATCGTCTCCCAACACAGCTTCCGTCGCCACCCGTTATCGCCAATCTCCCAAGTGTCCTCGGACGTCCCTACTCGCCTCCTCGTTGCAGCAAGAGCATATTAGGTTTCAAAGCTTCAGACTATATCAGTGTCAGCTCCTAATTCGATCTACTGCCCAAGTTTCCTGCCTCAGTCCAATCCAACTCGATATTGTAGTGCCACTGTCCTGTGCCTGCCCTGCCGAACACCTCGGGTGACTCATTCTCAAGCCAACGTGTAAGGTCACTTCGGACCCACGACTCTCTCCAATCTACCGACCGGAGTACTGCTACGTTTCATCTTACCTACATTGAGACTACGTGTGAGGGCGTCGACTTGCAAGACTCAGACCGACGACTTCGTTGTCCTAGACTCCACCGTTCGCAACCTGAGCCGGTTGCTGGTATTCGGTTCTTCAATTTGCCCAACCTAGGGAAATCTGAAGACGCCTGGTACCAGTTGTCCTGAGCTTCAGCGCCTCTATATATCAATCTTCTGCCAATCCAGGACTATTTTGTTGCTCAGTCATCCTATGAGTCTATAGCGTCATACCTCATTTTGACCCTCCCTGAGTCACGACCGCCCTTGTCCTTCAACCTGGTGTTCGAAGGTCTTTAATAACGACAACTGTTTCTACATCTGGCATTTACGATATCACGCAGCGTTTTGATTTGCTCTTGCTCGTCTTCTTCACTTCCATCTTCCATCTTATTTGATTCGTTTTCTCGTCCATCCGCCGGACGTCGTCTTTCTCTTCAACACACTCTCTTTATCGCCATACTTAGTTGACTTTCGGCTTCGCCCACATCACTGAAACGATATACAGATGAACCCATAACAGTCTCTACAACTTTCCTAGCGTTGTCAATTTCCTTTGGGTTGCTTTGACTTGCGCTCTGCGCTGACTCGTCCTCGTCTATTTCCTTTTGTCTCATCTCATATTTATATGATCTGCTAAACCGACACTCCACTGTTCGATTATCTTATACTCAAATTCTTTTTTTCCTTTTTGATCTCTTCTCTTGGGTTTTCACCGTTACGATTCATTGGGCCGGCATTACAATTCTTGACTATTGGTTATATCCAATCTTCGTTGCCCGCCCGCTCTGTTGAAATCTCGTCCCGCGAGGCAGGTCTTTTCCGTCGACAGACCTGCAATTGTGTTTCCTAATCTCCGACCACCTTTTTACTGTTTCGATCATCACTCGACCATGTCGTACCTCCCTAACAGCTTCGTTGAGGGGCAGCTCCTGGATGGGCGCTTCCGCACCGTTGCTCCCCTGAACCATGGCTCTTTTGGCATGGTCTTCCTCGCATATGATATGAAGACTGGCCAGGATGTTGCTGTCAAGTGCATGGTGAAAGGGGCACTGCCTGATGATCGTTTCGATGAGCTCTTCTGTCATCGTCGTCTCGGATATCATCCGAACATTGTCAACCTCATTCACTCGTTCGAGACTGAGACCCACATGTATCTCGTCTTGGAATACTGTGCGAATGGCGATCTCTACGAGGCAATCAGACTCAACCGTGGTCCCTTGGAAACCGAGCATGTACGGGATTTCATGCTGCAATTAGTGAGCGCTGTCGAGTTCATGCATGCCAAAAGTCTATATCACCGTGACATCAAGCCTGAGAATATCTTCTTGATGCAGGATGGTTGCATGAAATTGGGCGATTTAGGTCTAGCAACTGGCGAAGCTGGTGCTATGAGGCCTGCGTGGGAAGCGATCGTTACATGGCACCTGAGCAATACGACCCGGCTACCACAGGATACTCTCCTGCCAAGGCTGATATCTGGGCCGTTGGTATCTGCTTGCTCAATGTCCTCTTCGCTAGAAACCCCTTCGCAACGCCAACCGAATCCGATATCTTGTTCGCCGACTATGTTCGGGACCGCCAATCTCTGTTCGACATCTTCCCGAACATGTCTCAAGATACTTTTGAGATTCTGAGACTTGCACTGGCCATCGACCCTAACAAGCGCTCGCTCTCCGGCATCCGTGATGCGATCCTCCGGACTGTCACCTTTACCATTGATGACGAGGGTCTCGATGACTTCTGCACGGATGACCGTGAAATGGTACCTGCCAGCGCCAATCGCGAGCCTCTTCGCACCCCTTCGATCCAGAGCCCCTTCGTCAACCAAGGCGACTCGTTCCCTTGGGCCAAAGCCCTTCAGTGCAGTCCGCCCCAGGATATCCGGAAGTTGTCCGCAATTCCCGACGACAGCTACGACGAGGATCTCTTCCCACCATCGGAGACGGCTGGTACTTCCTGGTTTTCAGTTCACCAGGGTACTCCGTCCATGGCTTCTGTTATGGAGTCTGCTTTGGGTGACTCATACCGCTCAACCGCGTTCAAAAAGATTGAGCCCCGCTTCCCACCCCTGTCCGACCCTGTCACCATCACAGGGTCTTTGCCCAGCCAACCACCCAAGCCTCTGCCTTCCCTTTCCATGGTATTCGGTAAGAAGAAGGAAGACCAAATTTCCAAGAGCTGGAGTGACCTGTGGGATGAGGACGAGGAACTGGAGAGTGAAGAGACTGAGTTGCAGCAACGACGTGAGCAGAACTCTCGTAGCTGGAGCCATGACAGTAGTAATCCTGAGCTCGTTGGCCCTTCCAGCGTTCTTCAGGATGTAACTACATCAATGCTCAATATCCAGTTACAGGACGAGGCAGTTCCCACCGCCGAGGCCCGTGCCATTCCTGTGCAGCCACTCCACGACGAGAACACCACATCCAAGTCGGCGCCTACTTCTCCGCAAAGTTCATCGAAGAAGTCGAACCTGGATAAATGGGCCGCTTTGGGTGACCGTCGACGGAATTACAAGCCGGCCGAGGTGTCCTTCAAGCAGAAGAAGTTTTTGAACAACATGGCCTGGCGGAAAGACTGGGGTCTGGGCTCGTCAGGGTTCGACTATGGATCCTGGGCGAAGAAGGAACCCGTCTCTCCAGAACGTCGCCGTCGCCCATTCCTGGAGAAGGGGTGGCGTCGCGATGCTGTGGAGTCCTCCAAGCTTGCATATTCCAAGCCAGCAAGTGGCTATGATGGAAGCATCGATGAAGACCTTGACCTGGTTGGTGGCTGGCACGACCTCCACCTGTAAGCGCCAACAATGTCGTTACTTTTGGCTGCGCTCCACGTCCCTCACATCGTGTTGCCCTATAGAATCTAATTACATCACGACCAAGAACTACCGACCACTTTACCTTTTTTGTTTGCTCAGTGTTCTTTGCGTTTTCTTTTTTTAACCTAAACTCTTCAAACCAATTTTGCATTTCTCCACTCCGTCATGTTGCGCCGGGCCCTGCGTCGACATGACTTTATTTTCCAAGCTTTTATAGACACTTTGTGTGTGACATCAAAGCGGCCCAATATGTTCTTTGTTTCTTTTTCTTTTTTTTACTCCTGTATAATATAACTACTGGTGGTGGCAAGCAGTTCAAAAGTGACTCATCAACTCACAACCGGAAGGTTTTTGGGGAGTCTTTACGCTTGTTTGATTTTGCTATTCTTTTTCTTCCTCAACTTTCAAACTGTTCGAATATTATATTTCTCAACAAAATGGTTCAATGTGATGGTGATAGGACGGCGGCGCAAAGGCAGAAGCAATATGACGGGAAAGGGCACTCTTCAACGACAAATCCGAGAAAGAAAGCCTACGAGAGACGGGATATCGATCTTTCTGCGCTCACGTCCCGGTCTGACCCAGGTGGATGATGTACTGGACTGGATTCTTTGTACTGTAGTTTAGCTGGGGATAGCGGAATGGGTGTGAAGTGAACGATTATCTACATCATGGTGGAAATACAAACCCAAAAGTGATTCTCGTGGACTTTTCCGTTTCTAGTATTCGTAGTAGTAGATTCATGGGGGTTCCAGTATACTTGGACGAAGTGGTCTTCGTGTCTACTATTGCTAGTAGTACGTAGATGGCGCAATCAATGTAATTTCATTTCCCAACGATCGGCGGTGACGCGAGGCGGTCACGAGCGCTACAGACAGACCGCCATGCGCAGATGTCACTTGTCAAGCTTCAACATCTCTCTCGACAGGATTTTTATTCTGTATAGTTGTATTCTACTTTTCGATTGCACAGGATAATTTGATTGGTATTCTACGTCCCTTGTGCAATTGCCAGTTGTCCTCTTGCCTCCCCGCCGCGCAGACAAAGAATCAAAGATTACCCAACGCCGATAAGCTCGGGACTTTTTGCCTTTCCCTGCGCTCAGTTGACGATAGGAAATCGCCACAGTCGTAATATCGCCCGGACAATGCATCCACGACTCAATACCAGTATAGCTAACTAACGCCGTGACTCACCTGTCGTACTATCGAACCTACGATCAAACCACAAGTGTGCGCGATGGTCCCCACGTGGGCAGCAGCGGCATGGACATCCCTGACGACAGCGTTGATCCTCCCTGGGATCCCGGGCGCTGCAGCCGAGAGTAAGCAAGCGATATGCCTAGCAAGGCACTGGAGTGAGGTGGAAGCGGACTTCATTCAATGGCCCATTTGTGTCGAATCGCGATGGGAGCGAACCGCCCCCAGGATCACTCAGGCGCGCCGAGATCCCCTGACCAGATCGTTTCGGTGACCATTTCGGAGGGATCGCCGAGTACAACTGCGATTCCAGCCCCTAGTGGACAACCTGACCATGAAATTGACACCGACTCTCCCCTTGACAATTCAAACTTCCTCTCGTTCGAAGACTGGAAAAAGCAAAACCTGGCGAAGGTGGGCCAGTCCGCGGAGAATGTTCGCGGACACAGACACGCGGGTGGGAAAGACGACCGACGAAGGCCGACGGGGATCAATAATGCATTGGATTCGTTGGGAGAGGATGCTGAGATTGAGCTTGACTTTGGTGGTTTCGGCGCTGATGCGTCTGACGCGGCGAAGCCTACGTCTTGGGGAGCAAGTTTACCTACGGCCGGTATAACTGGTGCGGGTGCTGTGGCCGGCGCAGAAGATGCGGAGACCTCTGTGTCTGCCGATCTGCGGAAGGCTGCCTCGCGTGGGAAGGACGCCGGCACGACTTGCAAAGAACGGTTCAATTATGCATCGTTTGATTGTGCAGCAACCGTGCTGAAGACGAATCCCGAATGTAAAGGGTCATCATCGGTCTTGGTAGAGAATAAGGACAGTTATATGCTCAATGAATGCCGCGCAAAGAACAAATTCCTCATTCTCGAATTGTGCGACGACATTCTGGTTGATACTGTCGTTCTTGCCAACTACGAGTTCTTCAGTTCTATCTTCCATACCTTCCGTGTGAGCGTCGCTGATCGGTATCCGGCCAAGACCGACCAATGGAGGGAATTAGGTGTCTACGAAGCGCGTAATACCCGCGAGATTCAAGCCTTTGCAGTCGAAAACCCGCTCATTTGGGCTCGATATGTGAAAATTGAGTTCCTGACACACTATGGGAATGAGTTCTACTGCCCTCTCAGTTTGGTCAGAATCCATGGAACGACCATGCTGGAAGAATATAAACACGACGGTGACACTAATCGTGCCGACGAGGAGGCCGCTGTGGAGGCGCTGGAGCCGAGTCCTCTTCCAGTCGAGCCTGACGTGAGAGACGTCGCACAGCAGCCTCCAACCACTGTGGCCGTGTCTGATGAACCTGCCATTGAGCCAACAGTTATCATCGAGGCGCAGGGATCTTGTTCCTATCAGGGTATAGAGGTTATCAGACTTTTACAGCAGGGCGTTTCCACACCCGTGGATACTTGCGATATACGTACTGCACCGACTGGAGCTGGGAATGACGCGGCTAACCAATTGACTGAGAGCCGCCCGAAGGCGAACGAAGAAACTACTCCAAGTGCAGAAGCTTCAGTACCTGTCTCTCGGGTTGACCCCTCGGATAAGGGCTCGGTGGGCGGCCAGAAAGTAACAGGGCCTCCCCGTGCGAGTCCAGATTCGGCCTCTTCTATGACACAAGGTACAGAAACGGTGCGACAGGATGCGACACATGAGTCCGAGATTAAGTCGGTCAGTTCCCCTAAGGAGGAGTCCAGCATATCCTCGGAATCGGTGCGGCCTTCCGGGACGCAGCCTCCATCCTCGAACCCCACCACCCAAGAGTCTTTCTTTAAGTCCGTCAATAAACGGCTGCAGATGCTAGAGTCCAATTCGACTCTATCGTTGTTGTATATTGAAGAGCAGTCTCGGATCCTACGGGATGCGTTTAGCAAGGTAGAGAAACGCCAGCTGGCCAAAACCTCCACGTTCTTGGAGAACTTGAACGTGACCGTTTTAAACGAGCTGAGGCAGTTCCGCGAACAGTACGATCAGGTATGGAAAAGCGTTGCCCTGGAATTCGAGCACCAGCGAATCCAGTACCATCAAGAGATCCACTCGATCAGTGCCCAGCTCGGGGTTCTAGCCGATGAGTTGGTGTTTCAGAAGCGAGTGTCCGTGATCCAGAGTATTATGATCCTCTTCTGCTTCGCTCTTGTCCTCTTTTCACGTGTTCCGGTGGGCACGTACATTGATATACCGCGTGTGCAGAATATGATGAATCGCTCCTATAGCCTGCGCTCGTCATCGCCGATATTTTTCGGCTCTCCTTCGGCAAGCCCAAGTTCGACGCGACCTACGTCGTCGTACCGGCCCACGGGGCGCCATCGACGCAATATGTCGGAAGACTCACAGGAAGAACCACTCAGTCCGACTATTGCATACTCTCCCCCGACACCTACGTCCGACCCGCCTAGCCCTGACGAAGTGGATAAAAGGCCGGCCCCTTCTCTGGATACTGTCAGCATGCCGGACCTGGCGCCGCCCCACTTCCGGTCGCACAGCAGTCCTCCAGTACTCAACCCTGCCGACGAGGAAAGTCCGAGTGAAGAGAGCCCGATATCGTATGAATCACGGGGATCATCTGACTATGATTCTCCAGGTTCTACGGAGAGCAGCGAGCCGATTTTGGCGAGCAACAACATACAACAAGAAGGATGAATATGCGCTGAGTACACACGACCAGCTGCTTTGACTATCCTTATTGATGATATCCTACGTGACCCTACGTGTATCCGAGTCGTGTCATTTGTGGCAGTCATTGTTTACTGGCCCATGTCATTGACGTCACCGAGGAGGCATTGATTTCATCCTTGAGTGCCCATTTATTCCTTGGCGGAACAGCTGGCCTGCCGCCGATATGACGGTTGTCCGGGAGATATGGAAGCCCTCTTCCTCGAGGAATTTGCCTCTTGAAGTATGATTGTTTATCGGTATGGGTAATGGTCGCTTGGAATGATGGGCACTTGTAACAATGGTGCAGAGAACTAATATGGTTGTATTATAGGACCACAAAGGTGTGTATGTTTATTCTGCGGTGGAAGGTGGAAGGTGGAACTGTAACGAGTGAAAAACTCCTGTAATTAGAGGAACATACCTAATGATCCTAATGACTGAACGAAGAAATGAACGGCGATATGCATGCTATGAATGTGTAGAAGGCGAGATAATGATGATGTAAAATTCGGGCGGTTGCCATGACAACAATCAACAACGCGGCTTTTTCGCTTTTGCAGCCAATTTCTTCCGCTTCTTATCCAATTTCATCCCTCGCTGAATCCATTCAAAATCCACTTCAAGCAGAAGCTACAGAAACCATCCTCTCTATCTGTTCCACAGACATATAAACGAATAACATCTACTTCACACAACTACAATGGAGTCTCCTTCGCATCCTCTTGCTGATCGCTCTACCAACACTCATCTGGTCACCACCGAGAAGGCCAACGAGCTCAAGGCTGCCCCCGCCAAGATCGAATCAATGGAATACCACCGACAAGTGCTCCAGGGCAAGTTGGAGAGCGGAGACAAGTGAGTGGATTGGATTGGATCTTTCTACCGGAAGAGGTGGTAGACTAACAGGTGTTTCAGGCAACAAGCCAGCTATGTATCGCCTTCGGATGACATTATGAGCCCGTGCTCCAAGAAATTGAGCGACTTGAAGGGCAAGCGCTTCAAGAAGTATGTCCACTGTCTTATTGCCTTTTGGTTATGCCCTGCTTGGTGTTTCAGTGTTTAACTTGGTGGATTTGATATACTGACGTGAATGACCTGTGCTGCAGTGCTGGCAAGCCCCAATCACTATTCGCCAAACTAGGCAAGAAGAACTTCGAGCAATCTGCTGCCAACCATAACGCCAATGAGGCCGAGATGCCGAAGTAATCGACGTTCCAGAATCCCTTGCATCTCATGCGCCGGCCGCATGGATCTTGGGGATGGTACCTGGACAGGATTATCGGTTGTTTCTCGCTCGGTTCGGTGTTAGCAGGACTGGTTCTTGATTTTCTTCTACTTGATTTTGTTTTTGGGCAATTGGGGTTTTTTCATTTGGGAATTAATGGTCTTGGGATGGCTTGGGACTACTGTGTCATTGTTACGGGCATAAATTGTTTTTAATTGCGTAAGGGACTTTGACGGATGAAGCGCGATGAACTGTGATGTGATGAGTCAGAAGAATGATTGAAATAGAAATGTTCTGGATGCTGGTGCTGTGTAGATGCTCTGTTCGTATTTATACGTACATATGGGCAGATTAGTTATTCGGTTCTGAGCCGAGGTCCAATGCCAAAGTTCGGCATCTTCTCCGCTCCACAGCTTCTCCGCAATCCACAACTACTCGTATGATTGACGCTTCTCTTTCCTTTATAATCTCGCCCTCGACTGGTCTTTTCTCCCTGGATAATTCTCCAGAGCATCTATCTTTGGAGTTTGATTTCATAGTAAAACAACAAAACATCATGTCTGCCTCTACACGAATTCCCCCAATTGCCCAACCCTTCGTCAGCGAACGGGCCAAGAAGACCTTGGACCAGGTATACCATCTCCAACCATCTCAAGCCATCCTCTTTTCACACTTAATACTAAACTCGCAACACCCATCTAGGTCGAACAATTTGTCGAAAGAGAATGTATTCCTGCCGAGAAGGTCTTCCAGGCCCAGCTGGGTGAAGGTGATCAACGATGGGCCACCTACCCAGCCGTCATGGAAGCCCTCAAGACCAAGGCACGCCAGCAAGGCCTGTGGAACATGTTCCTGCCCAAGAACCACTTCTCCCAGGGTGCTGGATTCAGCAACCTCGAATACGGTCTGATGGCCGAGTATCTGGGAAAGAGCAAGTTGGCCTCAGAGGTATAGATCTCTCCCACCCCTCCTCCACGAAGGAATTATGTGACAACATGCTGATGAGAGGCGATCACTACTTTAGGCCACGAACAACGCCGCCCCTGACACTGGCAACATGGAAGTCCTCGCCAAGTACGGCAACGAAGCACAGAAGCAGCAGTGGCTGGCGCCCTTGCTGGACGGCAAGATTCGCTCGGCCTTCCTCATGACAGAGCCCGAGGTGGCCTCCAGCGATGCGACAAACATCCAGCTGAACATCCGCCGCGAAGGCAATCAATACGTCCTCAATGGATCGGTCCGTTCCCCTACGTCACGTATCACCCCAACCTACAACTCGCATCAATCACTAACAAGACTCTCTAGAAATGGTGGTCTTCCGGCGCAGGCGACCCCCGCTGCAGTATCTACCTGGTAATGGGCAAATCGGACCCGACCAACAAGGACCCCTACCGCCAACAATCCGTCATCCTCGTGCCCGCCGACACCCCCGGAATCACCGTGCACCGTATGCTGTCTGTGTACGGCTACGACGATGCCCCCCACGGACACGGCCACATTAGCTTCAAGGATGTGCGCGTCCCCGTCTCCAACATTGTCCTCGGCGAGGGCCGCGGCTTCGAAATCATTCAGGGCCGTCTGGGTCCCGGCCGCATCCACCACGCGATGCGCACCATCGGAGCCGCCGAGAAGGCGATCGAGTGGCTCATCGCCCGCATCAACGACGAGCGTAAGCAGACCTTCGGCAAGAGTTTGTCCGCACACGGAGTCATCCTCGAGTGGCTGGCGAAGTCCCGGATTGAGGTCGACGCCGCGAGACTCATTGTCCTCAATGCTGCCATCAAGATCGATCAGGGTGACGCCAAGTCCGCCCTCAAGGAGATTGCCCAGGCGAAGGTTCTCGTCCCGCAGACCGCGCTGACGGTCATTGACCGTGCCGTGCAGGCGTATGGTGCCGCTGGTGTGTGCCAGGATACGCCGTTGGCGAACCTGTGGGCCATGATCCGGACGTTGCGGATTGCCGATGGTCCGGATGAGGTGCACTTGCAGCAGCTCGGCAAGAGGGAGAACCGGGCTCGCAAGGATGCTATTATCGAGAAGTTGGACTGGCAGCGGGCTGAGGGCGAGCGGTTGTTGGCTGCTAGTGGGCTTAAGCTGAAGAGCCATTTGTAAATGGGATGATTTTAATTTGTCTACAGCGGATTACTTGGATAGGAACCCATCACTACTCCATACAGAATGAATGAATAAATTACATATCTGGAAGATTATCACGGTGAAATTGATTTCATTTAATATGAACGGTCATGATTCATGAACATCAACATCAACACCCAACCCTACATACATAAAAGCAAACCGAGAGATCATAAAGAACTTTTTCTAAATGCAACCAAACCAAAGCGTAACCCGAACCCATGCATTAACCATAGGCAAACATGAATCCACTCGCCCGCGAGTCAGATCAGAGATGGATCAGTAATCATCGTCCGCGGTGACGGCGCGCTTCTTCTTCGCCTGCTTCTTGTTGCCCTTGAAATGCTTCTTCGAGCTACCGCCTCGGACCTCGGTCACGTCGATGCCACGTTCCAGGGCGACCATCAGCCGCTCCTTACGGCCGGTCAGCTGTTGGCGCATCTGCTGGCCTTGTTCGGTGTACTGGGCGTTGAACGGGAGGGTGAGACGGCCGGCAGATCCTTTCGAGGCGTCGCCGAAGAAGCCAGTATCGAGGTTGCGGGAGCGGGAGCCTTGTACGGGTTGCTTAGGCAGCGAGAGGATGTCGGCGTCGATGTCCTCGGCCATTTGCTCTGCATGCATCGCCTTGAGGAGCTGTTCTTGTCGCCTCGCGGGGGAGGTGCGCTATGTCGTAGAGTTCGACGTTGAACTCATTGGGGGTCAAGGGGGGTTTGGCCTTCTGGCACCGGGGGTGGGTGGCAGAAGAGAAGTTTGCCATTGACGTAGTCCTTCAGGACGTATCGGGCGGCGCGGGATTCGTCGGGCTGGCCCAGGCCTTGAGTGGAAAAGCCACGGGCCCGGGCATAGGCGCGTAGAAGCTCACTGCCGGTGGGGACGCCGGTGCCGCCTTCTTCGATGGGGCGGGTATGGATGGTGACTCCGTAGACGTTCTCAAGGAAATGCTTGGGGATGCGCTGGGCGATGATGGTTGCTGGGCCAGTGAATTCACGTTGCTGGTCGATGGGCAGGACACCATTGACAACCAGGTCGGCCTTGGTTGTGGCGAAGTTGGGGAACACCAGACCGGGGCAATCGCAGAGCATGATCTCCGGCGAGAGGTAAAGGGTCTGGAAGTGCTTCGTCTTACCGGGCGTAGCGGACACCGAGACCTTCTTGGCTCCGAGAAGGGCGTTGATTGTACTGGATTTACCGACGTTAGGGTAACCGACAAGACCAATGACGGTCTTTTGCTTGCGTGGGTTCTCTGGGTCGTCGTTTTCGGGAAGAGTATCAGGGGTGTTGGAAAGGAAGAGTTCTTCGAGCTCATCAACGTCGAGAATTTCCGTCCTCCGGGATCTGCTCGAGCCAGGAAGTTTCAATCCTCCATCATGCTCCTCCTGTGGCGCCTCAGTAGACTGTTCTTCGATTGTTGTCTCCGCCAGCTTCTCCGCAACCTCTTCATCCTCGCTGTCGCCCTCTTCCGCAAGCTGTGCTTCAATTTTCTCCTTCGCTAGCTGGGCCGAAAAGAACCGGAAGCTGATGTTGTTGCGATCGAAGTAGTCTGCCCAGGCCTCTCGTTGCTTCTCAGTGAGCATATCTGCCTTGTTGACCAGTAGAAGGTTCTCTTTCTTGGGATCAATCTCCTTCACGTAAGACTCAAGATCCTCCGACCGGAAATGTAATGGGTTTCGAGCATCGACAATCTGCACGACCAGATCAGACCGTTCAATGACACGCCAAAGCTGTCGCCAGACTTCCAAGTTCCGCTCAAACGGTGTCATCAATAAATCATGATTCTCCTGGAGCTCAGCCAGTCCTCTGCGCCAGCTCAAGAAACTCTCTCTCTCCATAACATCGAGCTGTTGCCGTGTGGTCGTCGAATCCCACTTCGGTCGTCTCGGAACGGTCAGTCGTCCTCTGTTCTTCTGGTGCTTCTTCACAGCGGATTTCTCCTCGGACGCGGACAGGAGATAAGGGTTCTTCTGATCGGCGTGAATAATCTTAACATTGTTCATCTTCTCAGCGGTAAAATCGGTGCCCGCCAGTTCAGCGGTGCTCAGGAACTCGTCGAGAGCGGCTTGTTCCGTGATACTGCGCATCTTCACCCAGGCGGCATCCTCCTTCGCATTGGTGATGTATGTCTCTCCGTTCATGTCCTTCCGTGCGACGGCTTGATTGTGCGAGGCTTTCTTCATGTTCGACGCCTTTCCCTTTCCGAAACGATCCTTCATGAGGCTGTTGCCCAGCCCCACGGAGTTTTTGGACTTTGCGAGAACCATGGTGACTGTGTGGTGAAGTGACTCGACTTACAGTACACCAAAATTGAAATAAAACCTTCCGATGGTGGAGTGGAAGGGAAAAAAAAGGAGGAAGGAGGGGGATATGGAGGGGAAATGCAAAGAGGCAAAGCGACGGAGAGAATTATTAATTTTGTTCCATTTGGCGATGATCTATCGCCCAATCAGGCAAGCCCCGCCGATAAGATAAGAAATAGCTGACTCAGCATATTTTTCCCCTGTTGATGAAACGAGAGAAGTATGTCAGTAAATATATACAGAGTAATCGTGATAGGGAGTTAATAGTCAGTAGTAAATCATGGAGCAATTTGATTTGTATCGTACAATATCCTCAGCGCATCCCCCACTCGCTGCCTGAGGACGACCAGTTGGGCATCCCGATAAGCCCTCACGTGACGCTATCACATCCCACAATTTTTTTGCTCCCAAGGTCCATACAATATCAACCCACTAAGGCTGAAAATCTTCATTCCTGCTGTTCACACCGATCGCAATCGCCAAAATGCCTCCCCGCAAGCAGTGGATGTATGTGGCTTTCCACACAGGGTTTCTTGACCGTCCAGTGGCTAACAGAATTCAAATAGCGATAAAAAGAATGCAACCACATACCAACTTTTCCACCGATCCCAAAATGACCCCCTGATCCACGACGCCTCAGCCGATGACCGTGTTCTGGCCCCCGTGTCAGGCCCAGCAGCAGGTAGCTCTACATTCGAAGCCCGCGGCAAGAAGCTCTCGGATCTAGCCAGTGAATTTGGGACCGAGCCCGTCCGGAGGAACGAAGGTGAAGCTGCGAACTACGGTATTTTCTACGATGACTCCAAATATGATTACATGCAACATTTGCGCGAGCTGGGCACCGGCGCCGGTGATTCATATTTCGTGGAGGCCAAGAGCAAGGACAAGGGCAAGGCTAAGGGAATGAAGCTGGAAGATGCTCTGCGACAAGTCACTCTGGACGATGCGAGAAGCGAGTATGGGCCTGGAAGCGTCTATGGATCTGATATGCGTTCGACTGCCTCATCGTATGTCCGGCAACCGACCTACCAGGATCAGCAGAATGTGCCCGATGCGATTGCGGGATTCCAGCCTGACATGGATCCCCGTCTGCGGGAAGTATTGGAGGCTCTTGAGGATGAGGAATTTGTTGACGAAAACGATGAGGAGGATGTGTTCGGCAAATTAACGTCTCAAGCGGAGGAGATGGACCAGGGTGATTGGGAGGATACGTTGTTTGACGAGGAAGATGATGACGGATGGGAGTCTGATGCTACTGAGAAAGCCCCTGTGCAGCCCAGCAAAACCGACTACAAACCTCCTCAGAGAAACGAATTCGCCCAGAGTGAACCCCGAGACGCTGAGTCGGGTGAATTGCCGGAGCACGATGCGCCAGCTCCAGATATGCACCCCGAGGACCAGGGATGGATGCGCGAGTTTGCCAAGTTCAAGAAGGAGGGTAAAGTGAAGGCGGCGCCTGCAGCACCGCCCAGTATTATGCCCTCAGAGCAACAAAGCACTCTTGCCTCCACTGTCTTCACAGTAGGTGGTACCCCTATCCGCAGAAAGAAGCGTAAAGGTGCACTCACCAACCCTTCGGCCTACTCCATGACCTCTTCCGCTCTGGCCCGGACGGAAGGGCACCGGCTGCTGGATGACCGGTTTGACCGGGTGGAGGCGCTCTACGCTCTCGACGAGGAAGATGAGTACGATGATAGCATGTCCATGGTCAGCGGTATGACCGGCATGACCGGCATGACCAGCTTTTCGACCGCCTCATCGCAGGCCCCTAGCCTGATCGACGCGAACGGAGTAGCTGTGGCTCCCCGCCATGATTTCAACGAGGTCATGGATGATTTCCTTGCAGGCTGGGACGGCAACACAGCGCCCAAGTGAAGCGAAAGGGTGCCAAGGCAAAGAGAGGCAAGAATGGTAACGAAGCGATTGGAATCAGAATGTTGGACGAGATCCGACAAGGATTGGGTCCCGCCAAGATGCCAGGGAAAGCTTCTGGACGGGCGTAATGCTTCAACGAATTGATGATACCTTTCGATTTCTTTAGATTACGGTTTCTGGCGTCCTGGTCTCAATGCCCTTATGTTGCATGATAGATGTCCATTTTCTTGGCTAGTTAAAAAGTTTTCCAACTACCGCATAGTACTTGGCTACTCGGTAGGAATCAATCAACCTTCTGACACGTCTTCCTTGTTTATCACTCTATGCTCACAAGCAGATACACCATAGATCTCAACCTTTATAGTGGGTGAACGCACTGGATCCTGCTATCTTCACGCTCAACTCGGCGATACTCTTCGCACTCATGTCTCCCGTAGCTAGGGTTGTCCCCAGGTCTTTGGACACCCACGTCCGGAATTCCATTTCAATCAACGAATCTACTCCGTTCTCACGGATGGAGCGGGACGGATCAATGTCACCTTCAGACACGCTAAGAATTGTTGATAGCCTCTTCCGGATGCCGTTCAGAACAATATCTGCTGCTTCGATCTCGGTGCGCGCGGCTGCTAACAAGGCTTGAACATGGTACTGATCCGTCTTCGACCCTTGCACCTCCTCAGTAGAAATCGTATCTTGTAAGTGCATGAACATTGGGTACTGGAGATGCCTTGGGGCCGGGATGCCTCGTTTCTCATAATCTGACTGAGTAGACAGACCACAGACCAACTGGCAAGTCGTCTCTGTGAGAACACGCCGAGGATCGAGTAGGTAATCGATAATGGCGAGCATCTGATCCTCACGATGATGATTGGCAATCTTCATAGTATGTCTGACATATTCTTTGTTCTCAGCCATAAAGCCGACGGACACAACAGCTCCAAGATCGATGCTTGCACCGGGAAGTCCGCGCGATATACGGTGTCTCGCCAAGGCATCCTGGAATGTATTGCCCGCGTTGTAGTTGGCTTGACTTCGGTTGCCAACTACGCCGCCAACAGAGGATAGCATAACAAAGAATTGGAGGCCTTTGGACGGTAGAAGGCTGTGGAGATTCCAGGATCCGTTAACCTTTGATTTGATAGACGTGCCCCATTCGGTGTAGGTCATATTTTCAAAGGCACTATCTGCCCAAGACACCGAGCAGTTAATACATCCGCGTATCGGGGGGTAATTCGCTTGGATGTCCTTCACCACGGCCCCTAGCTTCTGTTCATCTGCGATATCACAGCAGAAGACATGGGGCTGACAGCCCATGCTCTCTAGCGTGGATATCATCTCTTCCGCGGCTGAGCTCAGCCCATGAGAGCGGCTCAGGAAGATGAGGTGTTTCCCGCCCTTAGACGCCATCCAGTATGCAATGCTGCGTCCGATGCCTCCAAGTCCACCTGCCAAGATGTACGATCCGTTGGAGTCCAGTTCGAATGGACTTTCTGGCTCTGGCAAGACAGGAATCTGCTCATCACTCGGCACGCAAACAATCTTTCCCACACTCTGCCCGAGCTGAAGCGAGCGTAGCCCCGCTTGGATATTGCTATACGTGTATTTAGTCACTGGCTGAGGCTGCCGAATCTTGCCCTCGCTCCATAACTTGACAAGCTCATCATAGAGCTTCACAAAGACTTGGGGCCGATGTTTGGCAACAGTGAGTAGGTCTACGCTCGCAAAGACCGCATTCTTTAAGAATGGCTCCATATCGAGCTTTCCACCAGTCTGGATATCCCGCTTTCCAATCTCAATGAATCTGCCAAACGGAGCAATGCAATCCCATGACTGACGAAGAGCCTCCCCGGAAAGAGAGTTGAGAATTACATTAACACCGCCCGGTGCCAGCTTCTTGATACCTGCAGCGAATGCCATGTCACGACTGGAGAAGATATGGTCTTCTGGGATACTGTACTCCTTCATGAGAAGCTCCTTCTTCTCCACGGTGGAGACGGTGGCAAACACCTCTGCGCCGGCGAATTGTGCGTATTGTATGGCCGCCTGGCCCACGCCGCCGGCGCCTGCGTGTATAAGGACGGACTCTCCTTCTTCTAGCCTGGCGACGTTCTTCAGAGAGTATATCACAGTTGTGTAGATAACAGGCATACTTGCTGCCTGTTCGAAGTCGAATTCGTCCGGAATCCGCATGGCCAGACTTTCATCGGCTCTGCCCAACGTCCGGAAAGCTCCCACGTAGCGAGGGTCGCCAAAGTATGCAACTCGGTCTCCTACACTGAACTTACCGACCGATGACCCGACTCGTGTAATCACACCCGCTGCTTCGCCGCCGATAGTTGTCTGCGGGAGCTCGCCCATCACGGTCAAGAGATCCCGGAAGTTGACCCCAACAGCACGGATTTCGACCTCGATATCTGAAGGGTTGAGGGGTCGTGACATGTCGTCGTCAGCCACCCAGTGGAGGCTGTCGAGACTTCCAGGCTGACCTATTTGAAGTTTAATAGGCCGCGCCATGCCCTGCCATTGGGAAGGTACTGGCTCGGGCTCTGAGAACTGGGAGTATATCGCTTCTGTGGCGTCGACATTGTCAACAATCCGGTTCGTTTGGATCTGGCCATCGACAAGTTTATACTCCGCATTCACACGTTCTGTCCGCCCACCCACGTTGACGAATTGGTATTGAAATATGTCAGATATGGCACGAAGTATCTCGTCTGTTGGGCTTACTTGAGCGTCAACTGCTACTGTGACCAGGTTGAGGTCCTGAGAATCACGCTCCCACCGCAGGGTCCGTATTAAACCAGTAGCCATGCTATTTCTCGGATCTTCCGCTCCTGTAACCCATATCATCCGGGGGCAGGTAGACAAAATATGTTGCACTTGTGTAAAGCTATTTTCATCGAGATCCCCGAGGATCGGCGAGTAGAGCTCCAGGAGGGAAATGCACACGGCCCCGTTGAGATCGGTATCAATAAGCTGGCTAGGATGAAGCATAGCACAAGTGGGAATGCCCAATTTCTTGTTGAAATATTCCTGGAGTAGGGCCCCTACACTACCACTCTCCGACTCCGTACAAATGATCATGACTG